AATAAAATTAAATTGAAAATCGTGTCAGGTTATATTATAAAACATAAAAATTACAAACTGATTTTTCTATTTGTCATCAAATCGATTTTCAGATTCTTTCCTTAACAAAATTTTTCCTTGATTATTTTGATTTAGGCCTTTCTTTGAATTTCCTTGATATTTTGTTTCTTGTCTTTCCAACACTTCACGCTTTGGAACAAAAGCCGACTTTGATATTCTATTAAATTGCCTCAAGTGAAATTCTAAATGTAGAAAAGAGTATTTCTATTGTACACCCTTCAGGTAACTTTATAACGTTTTTTTTACAATTAATTTAAAACTAATCAATAAATTGAGTATCTATATGGTTAATTATAAATAGATTCCATGAATATTATTAATTAATAAATACCTGTTAATGTATATAACGTATTCTTTATCCATGATTTCTCTTGATCTTTTTTTTGGTCTCCAAAATTGAATCCAAATTTTTCTTTAAGCTTTAACCAGCCAGGTAATGTTTCTTTATTTCTCAAAAAATGTAGCATAATCTTTAGATCTTTAGGTAAATCCTTTTTCAGCTGTTCTTTTACTTTTTTGCTGAATGCCGATCGTGTTTTTTGCAGTCAAACGGTAAAAACTCATGTCACATAATTAAACGGGAATTGGAATTTCATCTTTTCACCAATTACAATGTGTTATTAATATAAATTTTTAAAGAAGCGTTTATCAAGAAAATAAAGATAATAATTTTATCAAGTCTTTTCTAAATTCTGAAGTATTAATAATTATCTACAATAATCAAATCCTCGGAGGACGACTACAATTTAGAAAATTATCATTACAATAATCAAAAATTAACATAGCAACATCTCTATATTATTGAAAATAGAGGAATAGGCGGTAATAAAGGTAAAGGAGGATGCGATGATGATGGTAAAGAAGGAGGGACGACGATAAAGATAAAAGATGGTCCCCTAAATTTATTTAGTGGCTATTAAAAAATTGTTTTTTTTTTCCTAAAATCTCAAATTGGAGATTAAAGATTAAAGTTTCATTATAAAAATATATAATAATAATAGTTGTATTAACTAAATTTTTTAATTCTTTAAATCCTTGTTATCTTCTATTAATGATATGGAACATCATTAAAACCATTTTGTTTTATTGCAAACATTGTATAAGAATTTAATTTAATTATTATTTGAAATAAAATTTTTATTTCCATGTGGTAATTTTAAATAAATTTCTCTAAGCATATCAGATAACATCCCAATAGTTTTTGATTTGTCATATGTATATTCTCTTAAATTTTCTTCTTTTTTCAATTCAAGAGCGAGTATCTCTACATCTCTTATTGTATATTCAACCTTTACATCAGGTACAAATGCTTTTTCAACCTTGTTGCCAATTGAATATTCCTTGTTTTTACTGTGTTTATTAGCACATAGTGGCCTATAAATAAATGCATAAAAGTTATATTTCATTTTTCAAATCAGGAGATTTTTGCAAATAGGGCTTCTATTCAAATAATCATTCAATACAATTCAAACACTCATATTAATCACTATCAATAAAATGACCGACTC